GTTAGAAGGCAATAAATCTAGACTTAGGCTCTTCATGAAGATTGTAGGCATGGATGTATTATTTATGTGGGATTTTCAATCATCCGAATACAATCCGTATAACTTCATATATGGTCCAAACACTAAGTAGTGTTCGAATTATCAAGGGATCCAAATTTCTTCCATAACTTTGCAACCAACTTTGATAGCCCAAAACAGGATGCATTTGTGTGCTTAAATCCAATCTAAAAAGATTAAGATGTCTAATTTAATTCTTAATGAGGTGAAATTCTCGTTTCTTTCTCTAAAGGTCAATCTACCAAGAATAGAATTTAGCCTTAGTTAGCTCACTTTTGATCCTTTTGTCTCAAATCATCTCATAAATCACCCAAAAAAAAATTTTAACATGTTTAACCTAAAATTATATCCAAAAGACTGAATATAAGAGAATAAATATAATCAATAATTCTCATTATCGATCGCGCTATCTCCTCTCGTCTCCAAAACCCTCATCCGTAAAGTGACCTAAAGAGTATGAGAGTGGGAAAGACCTTAAACTTGCTTATAAAATTCAAAGGCAACCATGATTGTCCATACATTCGGATGTAGTTGACTCGCACACAAACCGTAATGCCAAAACACCTATACTATAAATCCGGATAGAGGAAAATTATAATTGTAAGTGAACATACATCATGAACAATTATTTTTAGGTTCTCCTTCCTAGCCTTAACTAATCCTATCATCATAATTGGAAATAATCGCAAGATATTCCCACCTCAAATGACTATTAAAAGCATCTAATCTTTCTAAAAATACCTTATTGGGGCTTTCGACGATAAAGGGAGATCAAAGCTCCCGTTTAGCCCTAAGAGAAATTACCATATCCATATATGGGCTAGTCTCTTTTATCATAAAAGCTCCACTCAAGACAACTTTAGAATCACCCCTTGATCTATTCAAATATACCATTGTAGCCAAAGAAAGAAATGGACAATAGGTTTAAGAGTTACCTATTAGAAACATTGTTGCTCGTTAAAAAAGTCAAATCACCATAGAAATATAATTTTTCCTTACCAAAATCATCGATCCAATGGTAATAATCACCTCAAAAAGATTGAAAAAAAACTCATGTAAAGGTATTGTATAGACTTAGATCACCTAAAATATCCAAATAATGCTCAACAATTTGTCAAAAATCTCATATGTAAGAAAACTAAAAAGAAGAAGAAAAGCATGAATAAACAAAAAAAAAAGAGAGAAAAAAATAACTCATCGGCTATACATAGGCTAAAAAATGCTAGTTTTCACATTAGACCATCCAAAAGCCCAAGCATATTTGACAAGCTCAATCCGACATGGTCCGATCATAATCGACAATAAGAGTTAAGCAAGTAGATAATGTGGACATAATGTTATGGGTTAGGAGATTTCAAAAGACATAGCCCCTTCATCTTTTTCAACTCAACCACTCATGAATGTTTGATCTTTCCCGAAAAAAAAAAATTAAAATATGGGTAATAAATAGCTATGTTAGCACCAACTAAAACAATCTAAAATCTCGAACACTACAAACATTTCGACTAAAAACCCGAATAAGAAAATCATCTTCAACAAATGTGCTTGCCAAGCCTCGAAAAGACTACCGATGTATGTAGAAGACATGCTTCTTCCTATTGCTCCCGAACTCTAGTCCGGACCATACCCAATCATGCTAAATGGACAAACCAATTGCCCATAGTCATCCTACGGATGTGCCATATAGCCTTTGCCGAACGATAAACTTGAAAAAACAAATGGAGTCTCGCCAACTAGAGAGACAAAAGTACATACATTTGATGCGGACATGCTTCTCATACTATCCTTGTCTAATAAGCACCAATTGTGACTTCACTATAACCATCCAACAACAGCTTGTCACCATCAAGAACGTTTGTCTTCCAAACTAGTGTTAGAAGTTGTTGGCAACAAGGGAATGGATTATCCTGCTCTCATCTCCTTACAATTTGACCAAGTCGTTGGCTATATACATAATCAACGAGGCTAAATGTTAAAGGTTTTGCTCTCTCACTATTATTAATTATTTTTACATGCTTACACAACTACATAGCTGCCTGCTTAGGTTAACTTTTATCTTCGTACACTAATTTAGTCATAAACGGATCCTTCAATCCATCAAAAAAAAAAAAATTGTTTCATAAGTACAACATGTCAATGGATCATTAGTCACTATCAATCACCAATATTTCTTTGGTCATAAGAATAGCCACCTCAATGTCAAATACTATTTTAAGATTAATAACATCATCACATCATGCCATTTGTATCACTATCTATTGTCAATTACTATGGTTGCTTCAATCATAAAAAATAAAAAATAAAAATAAAAATCACCTCAATATCAAATACTATTTTGAGGTTCACAACCTCATCAATAGGTGAAGGACTTTAAAAAAAAAATCCAAGTAGAAAAGATGTGACACGAGAGATGCTAAAGGAGAATAAAGAATTAGGCAATGGAGACGAATGTAGAATAGTCGTCACTAGTTTTTTCACTCGCGCTATGTTGTAGGTCGGAAAAAATACTTAAAATTATTTTTAAAAAATTATTTCATTTTAATATCTCATGTTATATTATGTGTCTATCAAAATATATTAAATAAAAAATGAATAAAAATTCATTCAATTTTATCATTTTTTAATCAAAATTTTGTATTTGACTAATTATTTTTTATATTTACATAAATTTTTTTATTAGAAAATATTATTTATTTATCTCTATCCACATTTTTAGTTAAAACGTTATTTTGTAAATTGTTTTTTTCCTAAACATCTTTTTTCCTAAAAATTTTTAATTAAAAAAAAAACAAGGATCAAAGTGATCAAATGAAACAAAAAAAATGGAACCAAAATCAAATTTACGAGACTAAAAAATAATATTAAAAAAAAAAACTAAAGTGTATTGTCACAAAAACTTTCATAATAAGTATCTTAAAAATATTTAAAAACTATAAAAATATCATTGCATAGTGAAAGAAATAGTGCACTTGAATCTGCATGAACAATATTTCAAATAGTGGAGTGAATAGTAATAAATAGTTTTAGTTTAGTCGTATTGTAATTTAATAATTATAAAAGTAAAACAAAATTGTATTTAATTGTTATCCATTCCTTTCAAATCAGCATAAAAAGTTCAAGGTTGTGCTTAATTATTATTATTATTATTATTTTTTGGCATTCTAAATAAGTAATTATTCAAGGAAGAGTGTTAGAAAAAAATTATATTATTATTTTTTATTTCTTCTATTTGATTATTTGTACCTTTTTTAAAAAAATTTTTGACGAGTGTTATTAATTTTTAAATTTAACGAATAGATACTATGTAATTTTATGTAGACTATATTCTAATTAAGTTAACTTTAAAAAAAAAAAAAAAAAAAAAACGAGGATGTTAATAGACAAAGAGCTGACGAGTTGACAATCAACTATTTGATCGTTAAAGATAATGGACAAAGATTACATTTGTTAAAAAAATAATAGATTGGGGTCTAATTAACTCAAATTGATAGTAAAAATATAAAATTATCAAATTATAATAGTTTAAAGATAATTTTTATCGTCAAATCCTAAAATATGAAAGCCATGTGTACATAGATGCCAAGATAGCAACACTTATTTAGAATGCCACATTTGCTTTAAAAAAAACTTTTAAATTAACTATATTAGAAATAAAATAGAAGATTGTCGGTAAAATAAATTTTTAATTTTGTTATAATCAAGGATTTTTATAAAATTTATACTTGCATAACCGTTAAATTAACTAAATTAGAAATAAAATATTTAAATCTAATATTAACAAGATTGTCGTTAATGTAAATTTTAAATTTTTTTCTAATTAAATATTTATGTTAAATTTATACCGACATAACTATTAAATTAATACATCAATATATTGATTTGTCCACCATATGACCCTAAATATTTTATTTTATTTTATTTTTAATCGAGGGTTTGCAATATATATATATATATATATATACTTTAAAATTTTTTATACAATTTTTGCTATTAAACCCATATTTAGCATTTGTCGTGACTAAACTCTATCAAATTCTCACAAGGACTACCTTTATTATTCTTATTGATTAATAATCAAAACATGTTGGATTTATCAATTTCGATGGGAGGAATTTCCATCATGTTTGGTACTTGACATATCATTGTGTATTGGGTATTTTTCCTAGTTTTGAAGAGGCTAATGATTTATTTGGAAAAAATTAGGGGAAAAAAAAACACGAAAAAGAGTCAAAATGATTAAGGTGTGAATGAAAAACAGTTCGTTCTATCTAGTAAATTAATTCAAGCACGTTGGGTAGAGAACAATTTCTGGTAAAAGACCTGTTAAAGATGTCACGAGAAGTAACTCCAGAAAAAAGTTGAAAAAAAAAAACAAGAATTATTCTCCTAGTAAAAAAGACAAGCCATTCTAAAAATTTAAAATATTCAAAAAATAACTTTACGAATAAATTTTAAAAAATATAAATCCATTAAAAAAAACATAGATACAAAACAAACAAAAAAAATCATATTCAAAGACATTAAAAATAATCAATATATATATATAATTCTCTCTTCTTCTTTTTTCCTTTCTTTTTTGCGTCCAACTCTTTCATATGAATTAAATATTATTAGTTACTCTTTGATTACCATAAACATATAAAGTAAAAAACGTTCAAATCACAAAGTCATAAGAAACCATCAATCAGGACACTCAATTACCATCACTATAAGCAGAAATAACAAAATGCTGAAACTAAACCAGGCAGCCAACGAAATTGAAAATATCCATGCATTAAAACCATACTGAAAATATAATTAATAGGAAGAAACCTCAAATTATAAACCCTCCAAGTCTGCATCAGTTTCATTTCATTTACATTAGTTTTTCCAGAGATGAAGCCGAATAATAGATCCAACATTGCCTGCCTCCATTTTTATATTCTATCCATGTTGCCCCCCATTTAGTCAAGGGATACATGACCGCCTCCAGTTTGGTGCAGCATTGCATCAATTTCATCACCATCTTCCATTTCAAGCTGGTCCCAAGCGAAAATAAGGCATAAATCAGATTAATTATTACCAAAACAAACATCAACAATTAAACTTTTATGGTGGTCCGAGAATGTTGTTTATAATCACCACTATCACCAATCATATCTACTAGTAGTTTGTTTAGCTTTGCGAGAGCAGGAAAATGGTTGATGTGCTCAACAAACATAGAGATCATGGGAGTACAAAATAGAGATTGATACACCTGAAAAAAGGATCATACATAGGAAATCAAACTCCAGAATAAACAAACATTAAAATAGGATTTTACCTCATCTGGAGTCTGTTCTCCACGGAGTCGGCGCCCATCAAACAAAAATGCAATCGAGTTGAATTCAACTGACTGTCTATCACAGTATGCAGTCATTAGTTTCCGCAGCTGAGTGCTTCGCTTGATCCTGAAGAACACCTCATTGCCATCCTACACTTGAAGGAAAAAAAATGTTTTAGATCATGCTAGAAAGAAAAAAGTAACTAAGATGCAGCAAAAAGATCAAAGCAGTGGAAACATGCTTGAAACCATGTACAAAGCAACAACAGCAAAACAACAAATCCTGCAGCGAGCAACACTAAGCCACCGATTTTCAGTGCCCAGAAGTGATTATAGTAAAAAAATAATAATAATCAAAAGTAGCATTGTCAATATTAGAAAACACAGAGTCAGCATCAGAAAATAATATTTGCATTCTAAAGAAAGCTGCTTCCACAAAAATGGCATCATAAGGGTCAAGCAACCTGCACAAAGGTGATATGAACCCCAAAGATGAAGGCTTTGAGACCCAACACACAGACTAGTATTGTAAGAACCCAAGAAAGCTAAATCAGATTTTAAACACGAAAACCTTGACACAATGCCTATTAAAGAGGCACGAACCAAAGGTATGAGAAGGATATCGACACCATACACCAGAAAAGATGAGAATGGGAGTGATAAGTGAGGTTTGGAATGCCAAAAGAATTAATGAAATTCTTGATAAGTTCTGCAGTTCTATGAAAAACCCAAAGAGAGACACTCTCAAAATCTCATTTTTCACTTAATTATCACCAATAGTCTCATCCTTCATAATACAAATGATATGCCTGTTTATAAGATGAAATTATAATCCTAGGAAACACTAATAGTCCAGAACATTCAATAACTCTGGCCTAAAATTCAACAATGCTTAAATAATTCAGCATTATCAATCATAAATCTCAAATAAGTTCAGCCTCAAAACCCACGAAGCTGGCCTAGAATTATTCAAACATAATTCTGATCTTGAATTCAATAAATCATAATTCTGGCCTTGAATGCATAAATTCGGCCATTCACATGTTTGGATGATATTAACCAGCTTTGACTCTCTCCAAGCCCATTTTCATGTTGAACGACCCATTTGAATTTTGAGGAATCCATATTTCTTCAATCAGCCCATTTGTTCTCATCAAAAGGTCCTTATGTTAAATATCATTGAAGACCGTGGAGCAGAGCATGAACACACACAAGCTTATAACTTAATTGGCATGTCAAAAATGGTTCAACCTTAAATTGTGGGCAACAAATAATATCTCCACTCCAAAATAACTTACTGCAACACCAAGATTTATGATAAACCAAACATCCAACGCTTACATTTAGAAAATAAAGTGTGCGCCTCAGCACTCTTAAAAAGCTCAGCGATTAGACAAAGCATCCAGGGGGTTCTAACCAGGCGGTACTGTGAACGCATTTGAACAAAACAATAACAAAAACAATTGTGCTATAATACCAGCGTGAAATAATATAGTAATGCAAAAATTTGAAGCTCCGAGCTAATTTTAACCTCATTATACTCATATATAGTATAACCATTTCGAGAACAACCCAACAGATAGATTTACCAAATCTTGAACCCTCGAAAACACAACAGCAGCATATTTAACTCTTTTGCAGATTAATTTACAGAAACTAAATTATTTATTTATACCATTAAATAGCCACAGATTGTAAGAAAAAGTAATTGTTTTCAATCAATCAAAGCAAACGGTTCAACAAATTTCTCACACACAAAAGGAAAGAAAAAAAAGAAAAAACCACTTTCATCATGGAAACCCTAACAGAACCACAGGAGTTAAACAAATACAAATTAAAAAAAAAAAAAAAGAATTACCTGGCCTTTGACTTTGAGGTTAATGTGAGCGGACTGATCCCCTCCGGGTTTCTTGTCTTCTTCCTGACCGCCACCACCACCGCCAGCGGATGCAGACATTTCTTTCTGTTTGTTGACTTTGTTTTTGGGGATTTTGTTGCTCCACGAATTTCTTTCGTCTCTCCTCCTGCCAGTACAAATAAACACCACGCTACAGATACTCTAAAGTCGAAAGGACAATGCGCTTCACGCTGCGTTTTGTGTACGCTACTATTTACTCACACATCACACTCGCGAAGCATGCCGTTCTGTGGTATTATCGTTAATTCATAAAAAATCTGCACCTCTGGTGAGGTGGCTTTTTTATGTAGCGAGTGGCGTGTTTTAGGACCAAGCTTGGCGCGTGACTGAGGTCAATTTGATGAAAATTTGGATTCCGTAGTGGGAATCGGAAGTTCCTGATAGGATTTTGGTGTGGCTATAAATGGGATTTGCAAAGGTAGTGGTGCGTTGGAAAGCAGAATCGACGGTCGGAATGGGGTAGAGAGGAATCGGACGGATGATGATGGGTTGGTCTGGTTGGGACATGAATTCTGGGGTGGGGTCATTATCTTTGCTTTTCTGAGAATTTACTTGTGATAGTACGATGTGTACTTTTGGATTTTCTTGGTAATGGAAATAGAATGGATTCTTCTTTATCTTCTGCTCCGAGTGGTGATTTTCATTTCAATTTGATTTTATAATTAAACCAAACTTTTGTGTTGGAATTTTCTTTTTTGAGATATAGGAAATTTTAGACATGATATGAAGACTCTTCACAGTTTAATGAGCTATTCAATTATTATTTTTTTTCAGATTAAAATTTTCATTTGAAGAAATCTAGTATTTAAAAAGGGGTGGGAACATGGATTTTCAAAGGATTTCTGTTTTACTTTACAAATATAAAAAGAAAAATTTATAAAAGTATTTAGTCATGATATTCGAGACAGTCTACTCTTTTTTAAATATTAGAGATGATAATAAGTTTGAATATAAAATGAATATTTGCTTTATCTCGAGTCAATAAATACTCATTAAAAATATCTAATGAGTATTAAAATAGATAAAAATAAAAAAATAAATAAGTGTTAATATGGTTTTAAGATATGAATACTCATTTCTTATCCTATTAATATCCATTAATTTATTTTAATTTAAAAAAAAAACCATACAAGATCTAATTGTATAAACTTTAAAAATTAAGGACCAAAATATTTTTTTCAAAAACTTTGAGGATAAAAAAACTTATAAAGATGATTAAAATGTAAAAAAAAAAAATTAAAGATAAAAAAAAATTATTGAAAATTGCATAAACTAAAATGAAATGTTTTTGATAAATTATTTTTTAGCCGATATTGAATAGGTACTAAATGAGTAGGTAAACTAATTTAGGCTAGATACGAGTTGAGTAAAGATTTATATAATAATTTTTTAACAAGTATTAGTATTCTTTTTATGAATAGGCTACAAAGTTGAATTAATGGAACGAGATATTTGCTCATTGACATCTTTATCAAAGATCCTTTCAAGCAATATATTATGTTAGATATAAAGATTTAGATGGTGTTTGATAAAATTGAAAATTAAGTACTAAATTGTTAAGTATTGAATAATTAAGTACTTAATATATTCCTTACAAGTCTGTTTGGTATTTACTAAAAACTAAGTGCTGAATATAATAAAGTTGTTTGATAAATATTGTAGCTAAACATATTAAAGTTATATACTTGATAATTTTAACCTTGTAATTTTAATCAAAGTTGTTTGATAAATACCGTAGCTAAACATATTACGGTTATATATTTGATTATTTTAATCTTGTAATTTTAATCAAATAAAAGACCTCTTAATATAATAATTATTAACCTCTCCTTGCAAATCCACCGGGACCACCTCTTCCAAACCCGATTTATGTAACGGATACACCAATTGGGTGAACTCGAACAAGCCCGGGAATATCGGTCATACTAAGAGAAGCAAGCATGTCCATTCAATTTTATTGGTTTAAGAGATAAAATTATAAGTACTAAAATTTGGAGGTAAACACACAAAATTACAATTTCTTAGAATAAATTTAACTAACCCATTTAATTGAGAATTAACATATTCGGGGCATTAAAGAATAAAACACATTGGCATCTAGGAAAAGGCATAATGGTATTTAAATATGCCTAAAAAATTATTCATAATAAGCTTGTACCTAAGAGTTCATCAAGCATGTCTCTCCCAAATGTTTCATCATCAAAATTGTCATTCAAGCAATTTTCTTAACATATCAATTTGTTCTCTTGCAACAAATTTAAGCTCGAGGGTCATTGATTTACCTTGATACGTGCCGCCTTAGGTGGCCATCAACATTATCTTCCGCACTTTGTCTCCCATCACTACATACTAGATCCGTTCTTTTATCATCATTAACAACTAGTGGCTCAACATTGAGGTCGAGCCCAAATCAAATTCAGATTGATCCCCTATCTCATGAAAAGCAACGAGTAATTTTTCCTTGATCAATTGATCGACAAGATTTGTTTTTGTCTTTTCCATTACTTAGTAGATGAAGTACATCATCTTAAAAATCAAACCCGACCCATTTTGGTGCTCTTCATTGGTATGCGAAGGGGTGGTCTTGTTTCTTCTATGAGTGTGGAAAGAAAGTGAGGTTATGGGTGGTTAGGATTAGGGTTTTGTTGGTATTTATGATGGACTATATAGTCATATTTTAAAAATTTTAAAAATCTTTCGATTGAACGTGTTAATAAAAAAGTTTTAAGCTAAAAATTTTAACTTATCTAATTAAATAGATTTTGGCTGAACTTAAATTTTTAATATGAGATAGTTAGGTTATCAAACAAACTTTTTATATTAAGTACTACAACTTAATTTTTTAAGTTACTTAAATAGGTTATCAAATACCCCATTAATGCAACGGTAAGAATGGAGGTTTGGGAGATAGTAGATGCATATTAACCCTCTAGTTTCTTTTTGGTGCTTATGGCATGCATTACTTCTATAGAAGGTTATATAAATGCTCTTCGAGTCCTCTTGTTAAAATATAAAGACCTAAGAAAATTTAAAAAGTTTTAATTACTTCAATAAAATTGAATATTCGTGTGTGTGACTTGCACGTATCGCCAATAAATAACACTTAAAGCCCGAACACTTGTTAATGAACTCTATTAGTCTAGATATAATTAGGGTTATTACATGATTAGTTCTAAGATTTTATTCAACGGACTTATAAGTTCTATGGCGTTTGATTTGTGATAATTTTCTTATGCCCACTAAGTTATGCTACCCTATTTGAAGACTCGAAGGCTTAGGGGAAATTATGTGGTAGCTATGAAATTAGACACGAGCAAGGTGAATGATAGATTGCAATGGCATATCTAAAGGCACTTATGAGAACGAGTAGTTTATGTCATCGGTTGATAGATTGTAAGGGTGAGCAAAATGTTCGGTTAACCGAAAATCAAATACAACCGGATCGAATTATGAAATTTGGTTTGGTTTTGAATTTTAAAATTTACAATTTATAACCGAATCGAAAAATCAAAATTTATGTCGGTTCGGTTCGGTATTTGAAAAAAAAATCAATTCAAATCAAAAATTGAAATTTATTCCTAATCTATTTCAATTTCTAAATCCATAACCCTAAATCCTAACTTGTAACTAGTAGTAGCCGATGTCTCACGGTTGAGTCTCATCTCGCACTCTCTCTTTCAATTTTCTTCTCATCTTCTTACTAGTCACTTTCACCGGCTTATCGCTTCAATGCTTCGTCTTCTTCCCAAACAATCAAATCTCCTTGGCTTATTTGGCTTCATTCCCTTCTCCTCCACTTTCCACTCCACTCCTCCAATCATCCGACCTCTAGGTCCTAGTTTGCTCGGTCGAAATCACAAACCTTGTCATCTTTCTCCGATCTCACGGAGTCACGGTCATCCTTATGAGTCACCATCCACCTCGACTCCTCCTACTCGAGCCGCCTCTGCTGCTCTTGCCAATTGTCTCTTTGTGTCTTCCTCTTCTTGTAAGCTCTCTTTGTCTCCCAAGGTCGGCTCTCTCTCTCTCTCTCTCTCTCTCTCTCTCTCTCTCTCTCTCTCTCTCTCTCTTTGATTTTATCGATAACAAAAGAATTTTTAGTAAGTTGTCTATATGGAAATCCATCTTGCTTTCTTTGATTTCCTCTCGTGTGAAGTGTGGTGATTGCTTGATTCATGATCTCCGTTGTGTTGATGAGTTTTTTTGTTATTGAATGTATGGGTCTTTGATTTTTGGCTTCATTCTTAAGTTAAATTATTGATATCTTGATCCCGTAACCCAAGTAAAATATCCGGCTTCATCCTCGCTCGCTTATCTTTCCCAAGTATAGCATTAATTTGCTTAGGAACTATAACAACAAGTATGGCATTGGCTAAGGCAATGACGAGTGCCTCAAAGAAAAGACTTGTACCGAGTAATAGCCCTGGAGAAATCAAATTAATGTGGATAACATGCTTGGAGGGTGGATGGTTAGAAGTCAATATGTCGGTAATAGTCGATACAATCAAAAAAACTTATTGATTAATAGGTTCCTTCTTGAAACTTTAATGGTTGCTTGTCTAGGCCTATATTATCGATACTCGATAGATGGATGAACAAAAGCGAGTTGATGAAAAGTATTTTCTTCTTGGCATATATGTTGATTTTACTTTGCTTCCGGAAAGTTGATTTTACTTTGCTTTTCTTGAGTTTGAGCTTTTGAATGTTGGAAATATAGTCCACCAAAAATGCATGATTCTTGACATATGGGTTCATGTGAATTATGATAAACTTAATTGTTCTTCTCTTCAAAATTACATTTTCGGATTATAAGCCCCGTAATATTTTTCTTTTCCTTGAATCCGAGTCCTGCCCTTTGACAATCCATTTCAGCAAATTAGTAAATTACACCAATTCAAATTATTAAAAACAATACAAGAATCACCTTGTCCTAGATGAGTTATAACCATTAGCTCAAGTCGGCATGCATTAAATCTCCGAATTAGCCAAATTAAGTTTATATAAACCACTTGCATCCTTCATTCAATTGTTTAGAAAAA